TGATGTTTTGTACACAAATCTGTGATCCATACTTTGAACTCCTTTTTGTATAAAGTGTGAGGTTTGGGTTGAGGTTCATGTTTTGCTTATGGATATAGCCAATTGCTCCAGCAACATTTGTTGAAAAGACTTACATTTCTTCCACTGGATTCCTTTTGCTTCTTTATAAAAAATTAGTTGGCCACATGTGTGTTCTCTAGTTCATTCAGCTGACCTATGTATTTATTCCCCCCACCAGTACCACACAGTTTTAATTACTGGCTTTACTTTAAAATAAGCTTTGAAATCAGGGTAGAGTGACCACCCCATTATTCTTCTTCAGAAATGTTCTATCTAGGGGTGCTTCGGTGGCTCAGTCAGTTGAATGACTGACTCTTGATTTCAGCTCAAGTCATGATCTCAGGGTCCTGGGATCGAGCCCCCTATCAGGCTCCATGCTCAGCAGTGAGTCTGCTTGAGGGTTCTCTCCCTCTGCCTCTCCCCTGCTCATGCACATGTTCTTTCTCTAAAATAAATAAATAAATCTTTTAAAAAATAATCTATTCTAGTTCTCTTTCTATATAAACTTCAGAGTAATCTTGTCTATAGCTACACAAATGTTTTCTGGGATTTTGAAAGTAGTTGCATGAAATCTGCTTGTCAACTTTGGGAGAATTGACATCTTTATTGTATTTAGTCTTCCAGTTCATGAATCTGGTATTTATTTAGGTCTTCTTTTATTGTTTCAGCATTGCTTTGTCATTTTCAGTATACAAGTCTTATATAGGTTTTGTTAAATTTATTACATCTAATTATTTCTTTTTAAAAAGACATTATAAATGGGATTGTATTTTACATTTCAGCTTTCATGTGCTCATTGTCAATATTTAAAAAGTGACTAATTTTTGTGTTGATCGTGTATTCTGTAACTTGGCTAAACTTCCAGTACTATACTGAGTAGAGTGGTGACAGTGGGCATCCTTGCCTTGTTCCTAATCTGAGGGGGGAATGTATTCAGTCTTTCAGTGTTGACATATCACCCTTGGTTTTTTTTTTTTTTTTTTTTTAAGGTTAGTTATAGATGGTCAAGTTGAGGATCTCTATTCCTGGTTTCCAGAAGTTCTTTTCATAAACGGGTGTTGAATTTTGTCAAATTTTTTTTCCTACAACAATTTATATGAGCATCTGATTTTTCTTCTTTATCCTATTAACATATTACATTGTTTGATTTTCAAATAGTGAATCAGCCTTGCATCCCTGGAATAATAGTCACTTGGTCATAGTGTATAATTCTTTTCATATATTGCTGAATTCTATCTGCTAGTATTTTGGTAAAATTTTTTGTCCCCCATATTCATGAGGAATATTGGTCTGTAGTTTTCCTTTATACTGTTTTATCTTTTATATTTGTTTATTTGTTTGTATCAGGGTAATCCTGGCTTCAGAGAATGAGTTAAGAAGTGTTCCCTCTCCTATTTTCTGGAAGAGTTATGTTGAATTGGTGTTATTTCTTCAAACATTAGCCTGAATTCTCCAGTAAAGCCATATGTGCCTGGAGATTTTTTTCACGTTTTAAATTATCTTAGTAGTTATAGGGCTATTCAAATTACCTGAGGGGCACCTGGCTGGCTCTGTTGGTAATGCCTTTGGCTCAGGTCATGATCCTGGGGTCCTGGGATCAAGCCCCACATTAGGTTTTCTGCTCAGCTGGGAATCTGCTTGTTCCTCTCCCTCTGCCCTGCTTGTGCTTTTTCTCTCTCAAATAAATAAATAAAATATTTAAAAAACACAAAAATTACCTAATTGACATTTGGTGAGTTGTGGTAGTTTTTATTTTTTGAGGAATTGATCCATTTAATCTTTATTTTAGAATTTATGTGCATAGCTTGTTCATAGTATTCCCTTAGTACCTTTTTGATGTCTGCAGGACCTATCATGACGAATTGATGTTAACAATTTGTCTTCTCTCTTTTTTTTGTCAGCCTTACTAGAGATTTGTCAGTTTTATTGATCTTTTCATGAAATAGACATTTAATTATCTCTATTATTTCTCTGTTTTCTGTTTCATTGATTTCTGCCTTTGTAGTTATTATTTCCTTCCTTATGCTTGCTTTGGGTTTATTTTTCTCTTATTTCCTAGCTTCTAGAGATGGAACCTTATATTGTTCATTTGAGGCTTTTCTTCTTCTTTTTTAAAAAGATTTATTTATTTGAGAGAGAGAGCATGCGAGCTAGAGGAGGGGCAAAGGGAGAGGTAGAGAGAGAATCTGAACCAAACTCCCTGCTGAGTGTGGAGCCTGACGTAGGTTCAATACCATGACCCTGAGATCATGACTTGAAATGATATCAAGATTCAGAAGCTTAACCTACTGAGCCTACTTAAGCAGGTGCCCCTGAAGCTTTTCGTCTTTTAATGTAAGCATTCGATGCTATAAATTTCCCTCCTGAATTTAGCTGTGCCTCACAAAATTTGATAAGTTCTATTTTCGTTTTCTTTCAGTTCAATGTATTTTTTTCTTACATTTCTCTTGAGATTTCCTCTTTGACCCATAGATTATTTAGAATTGTGCTGTTTAGTTTCCAACTCTTTGGAGATTTTCCTCTTATTGATTTCTAGTTTGATTCCATTGTAGTTAAAGAATATACTCTACAAGATTTTAATTATTTCAAAATTTTTAAATTTTTGTTTCTATCCCTACATACATATTGACTATTATGTGTCTTGTCATAGATTTCTTGGGTTTATCTTGTTTGAGATTAATTCAGCTTCTTGAATCTGATGTATGGGTTTGTTTGTTTGTTTGTTTCATCAAATGAGGGATATTAGTTCTTCAAATGTTTTCTCAGCCTCACCCTCTTTCTCCTCTCCTTCTGAGATTCCAATGACTTTAATGTTAGATCTTCTGTCATACTAGCCACACATGCCCCTGAGGCTCTGTTCATTTATTTTTTTTTTTTTTAGTTTATTTTCTCTCTCCTGTTCAAATTGGTTAAATCCTATTGTTCTATGTCCCATTTCACTGATGTTATTTCTATAATCCCCATTCTGCTGAAGAGCCCATTCGTTAAGGTTTTAATTTCACTCGTATTTTTTTAGTTCTAAAATTTCCTTTTGATTCTTCTTTATATCTTCTTTCTTTGCTGACTCTCTTTCACTTGTTTCAAGTATGTTTGTAATTGCTCACTGAAGCATTTTTATAATGGCTGCTTTAAAATCTTTGTCAGATAATTCCAACATCTGTGTCATCTTGGTGTTTGTGTCTGTTGATTATATTCCCACATTCAGTTTGAGAACTTCCTGGTTCTTAGTGTGCCAAGTGATTTACAATTGAAACCTGGACATTTGGGGTATTATTTATGGGACTGGATCTTATTTAAATTTGTGCTATTTAGGGGCGCCTGGGTGGCTCAGTTGTTAAGCGTCTGCCTTTGGCTCGGGTCATGATCCCAGGGTCCTGGGATCGAGCCCCACATTGGGCTCCCTGCTCGGCAGGAAGCCTAGTTCTCCCTCTCCCACTTCCTGTGCTAGTGTTCCCTCTCTCGCTGTGTCTCTGTCAAATAAAAAAATAAAATCTTTAAAAAAACAACAACAACTATGCTTTAGTTTTTCACTGCTCCAATGAAATGAATGGGGCACTGCCTCATTATTGCCAAGTCCGAGTAGAAGTTCAGGTTCACCACTCAGCCCCTCCTGACATCTGGTGTGTGTGTGTGTGTGTGTGTGTGTGTGTGTAACTTTCTTATCATTGCTAGGCAGGGATAGAAGAACAGGTTCCCCATTATGCATTCACTAATACCACCCTGGCTGGGAGAGGGAGGGTCAATCCGTTGCTGTTTTCCACACTGCTTCCATGTAGATTCCACAGTAGGAGGTGGGCTTATGACCACTGAGTGACGGTGAAAGCGCTGACCCTCCTCCAGACCTCCTCTTACACCACTCTAGTAAGGAAATGGTGCCTCATCACTACTGGGGTGTGTGTGTGTGTGGATGTTCAGGCTCCCCATGTGGTCTCCACTGACCCTGTGGGGAGGAATAGTTCAGTGGGGATGGAGGGCCCAGCTTCACACTCACTCAGCCTTCTCTGGCACCACTCAGATGTGGTATGGGGGACTGGCCTGGGTTCATTACAGCCTAGCAAAGTTGGAAGTCTAGGGTCCCACACAGCCTTTGCTCTCAGGGGTGGGAGTGAAGCAGAAGGTTTTTCTGTGATATTTAGCTGAGGCAGAGCAGTTACTGCCTGAAAGACTTCTGTCTTTCTGGGTTTCCCCTTTCTTGGTTCTTTGGCTAGAAGATCAGAGTTTTGCTGAACTCTTTTTGTCTGTGCCCATTGGCATTTCTAGTTTCTTTCTTCTTTAGTATCCAGTGAAAGCCTGGGAATTCACCATCCTATCATTCCTCAGGTCCCAAGGTTCCTAACCAGTGTGTCTTCTCTCAAACTTTCAATGTTTTCTTATGCTTGTTTTATAAAATCCAGAGTTTTAGTTTTTCTGAGCAAAAGAAATAGGGAAGAACACACCTTCCTAGAACATTACTGTTTTTTGAACAAGCTGTCCTTTCCCTTTTCCTTCTCAATGGCGGCAGTCAGTAGAGCTTGGTGATGTCAGGATGCAGATTCCTCAGAGACTTACCTATTCAAATCCCTATAGGATCTGGACGGCTCTGCCTGATGTCTGGTTCTGGTCTCAAGACACTGACTAGAAGCCTGACCACATAGAAAAGTTCCAGTCTCATGACTTGCCCATTCACTAACACTTCATGTAAGTTACCTTTCTTCTTCCTGATATTTGTGTGCTCTTCCCTCAACCCTTGGGAGCTGCTGAAGCACCCAGATAAGTGACCAGATGCCCCACCATTCTTGCCTTTGGAGGAAAAGCATGGGAATGAGAATAACTGGATGGTAGCACTAAACTACAAATATTTTCAGATTGCCCTGTGCCTTTTAGGAGCAGGCTGGCAGTTCTGACGGCCTGGCTTGAATTATCAGCGTTTCCTGAGAACTGGATGGGGAGGAAGTTGTGGAGGAACTAGCTCTAACTATCTGATGTAGAAACTCCATATACTGAAACTAAATACTGACCGTGGGTACTCAAGTGTTCCCTCCAATCTGCCTCTGACCCCACATGGCCCTCATTCCCTCTTTTCCCACCTCTCTACTTCGCCATGCCTCTTGGTTGGCCTGCGAGTCACTGAAGGGCAGGGGGTGTGGCCGAGGAGGCTGAAAAACCTTCACTGTGCTTCCCCTTTCACTCTCAGATGCGCCCAGGGTCCCCGAAGAAGGAGGACACGAGGAAACAGGTAAAAACCATTTTTGCTGTCCTTTGCATTCGGCAAGCCAGTGTGGAGCAGCTGCTGTGTGCCAGGCCTGGGAGCACAGTGGCTAGTTGTCCTCCCTCTTGCCTGTGTTCTAACAGGACACAGACCCCTGTCTTTGAGCATGGCCCCTGATGGGCTTGATGGTCTTCTGAGAGTAAGATGGGTCACCAGATTCCCTGGGAGGGAAGAATGGCCTTGGGGAGGCTAGCTCTGAGATCCGGCAAGGCCCTCAACTGGCCTGTTTTATGAGACCAGGGGTCTGGGTAGTGTGACCTTATGCTGAGCCTTTGTGCCTAATGCCTATCCCCCCCCACCCCCGGCCTCCAGCCTAGTCTCAGCAGCCTTCCAGTTCCAGGCCTGTGGTCCCATTTCTTATGGCCCAGAGACGGCCTGGAGCTGCTGGGGGTGAGCACACAGCCCTGCTCTGAGGCGTGCCCTCTCCCACTTGTCCTGGTGTCCTCAAGCCATTCCCCCATGAGGGCGGCTGGTGGCAGAGGGGGCGCAAGGATCCAGCTACTGGAGGCTAGTCTTTGTCACAGAGAAGGGAATCTAGCCCTTGCCACAGCTCTTGCGGAAACACAAAGGGACTTCCAGCACATCCCTCAAAACACTGACCCTGCGACCTTGCCAAGTTTTTCACAGGAAAAGTAAAATCAGTCCCGTGGCTAAAGAAGTGTGGGCAATGGACTGTACTCTGGCCCCCATGCTGGGAGACATATGATGTGCACCCAGCTGATGAAAGGGACCAAAAGACCCACATTTGGGAATCAATTTACCTTTTTAACCCAAGTTTTCTCAAGTGGATGTGGCCTTGAAGAAGTTTTTGTGTGTAGCACTGTTAGCGCCCGCACCGCTGGCATCTGTTCTGCCTGGAGAATCTGCCCCCGTTCACAGTCCTCACTCCTAACCTAGGCCCAGCCCAGGCTGGCACAGCCTCTACTCCTGGGGACAGGCCTCCTTCCTGCTCGGCAAGCGGCCTCGCTTTCTCCATGCCAGGTACTGGGCCCCCAACAGCAGCTGGCACGAGCCATGCAGCCTGAGAAGATGAACAGCCCGAGGGGGTGAGGGGCCCTTGATGCGTGGGAAATGTTGGTTGCGCGGGTGGGACGGGTGCAGGTCTGTACTGAGGCCGGAGACACACTCTGTCACACATCCTGCTAACTCCAGAGGGACCAGCACAGAGGGGCCCAGCCATGCAAATTGGCACATAAATTTAACTCTCTGTAATTGTAACTCTATGTAAAAGTCTAGTAAGGTGGTGGAGAAGCTCACTAGTGTCTCAAAGAGAGACAGACGGGTCGTGGCTGCAAACTGGGGGCCCTTGACTGCCTCCAGCCCACAGATAGGTTGGGTTTGGCGAGCACCGTGTTTGCTTGTTTATTTCTGAAAGCAGGACATTTCACATGAAAATCTGGCTTCTTACTTCTCTTAAAACAGTGGAAGGTCAGGCAGTGCTGAGCTCATGTTCCCAACTGGCAACAATTGGCTGGGACTAGCGTGTCATTGTCTTAACCCAAAGCATGACCTCTGTCCCCACCTGGTTGATTTATGTTTTCTTCCCAGCCACCAGGCTTCTCTGAGTGGGACCCTTGGACCACATTCTCCTAAGTTCTTTCAGTCCCCTCTAAATGTTCTCCTGGAATCACACTTAATTATTAGTTTTAGAGTAATTTTGTTCTTGGTCTTTAAAATCAAGTTTTGAGCATGGTTCTGCCCTACAGAAAACCCTCCACTACTTGCCTCAAGGGGAGCTTCAAGTTACCCAGGGCCTGGGATTCAAGGCGACCAGTGGTCTGGTGCCACTCAAAGACTGAGAGCTGGGCAAGAAGTTTGTAAAATAATGAATGGATGGACAGATGGAAGAATGGAAGGAAGGATGGATGCCTGGATAGATGGATGGATAGATGGACGGATGGATGGAAAGAAGGAAGGAAGGATAGATAAGTGGATGGATGGTTGGTTGGTTGGATGGAAGAAAGGAAGGAAGGCTAGGAAGGAAGGCAGGCTCGCTGTACAGAGTAGTTAGGCTGACACAATAGACATGGCATGCCCACAAAAGGCCCCATGAACATCCAGAATTCAGTTCCTGCCATACAACCAAATGTGGCCCTCCTGGGATCAGGGAAGAGGGGTTGGAGCTTGGTGGGTGAGCAAGAAAGTCATCTGAAAGAAGTAAGTGACCAGACGGCTCAAAGACAAATTCTTCCCAGCCCAGGTTCCTGCCTAGACACAACACCATGCATCTCCTCGGCCCCTCGCTCCTGCTCCTTGGTAAGGACTGTGGTCTAGGCTCGGGTTCTGGGATGTCTGTGGGAGCTGGAGGAGGAGAGGAGTTGGGGAGGGTGGGGACAGACAGGGTGTGTGTGTGTGTGTGTGTGTGTGTGTGTACACTTCTCTCTTTGTGTACCTTCCTCTCTCCCTCTATCTTCAGAGGGGATTATTCATTTGAAAGCTCTTTATGTCCCTCAATAATGCTTTTTGATCACTGTGGTGGGTTCCAGAATACTTGGCCTTCTCTGACTCATCTAAATGGAGGTTTGAGCACCCCCACACTCTCTACAGCTGGGAGGGGGCCTGCGTCTGGATTCCCTGTACCTACACAGTTCGCTACACGAGTAAAGATGAGCTAGAAGAACTGATCGTGTACAGAAACTATAAATATGATGAAGCCACCAAGAACTTCGAGGGGCTCATTCTGTATAATGACACAAAGCCTTGGAAGCGTCCTGATCCCCTGGAGAGGGTTCAGTTCCTGGGAGACCAAAGATCCAACTGCACCATACACATCAACCCTGTACTGGAAGAAGACAATGGCTGGCTGGGGCTGAGGATGATAAAGAAGAATTCCAAATGGATGGAGAAAATAGACCTCAATGTCTCTAGTAAGGCCCTGGGAGATGGGGGCCTCTGCCTTCGGTTTCGGGCAAGGAGGGAGGTGGGAAACCCCCAACTCCTGGGACAGGGGATGCAAACCAGGCTGCCTGTGGAGGCCAGGCAGGAGCTGCCAGTGAGTGACCCGGGTAGCCTGAGACAATGGAGCCCGAAGCCTGAGCACCTGTCTCTCCTCAAACATTGAACCTGGCCCTCAGCTCCCACCCATGCTAGAATCTGGGTTCCAGTTTGCCTGATTTTTCTTTCTTTCTTTCTTTCTTTCTTTCTTTCTTTCTTTCTTTTTTTAAGACTTTATTTATTTATTAGAGGGAGAGAGACAAGAGGACAAACAGGGGTGGGTGGTAGGCAGAAGGAGAAGGAGAAGCAGGCTTCCCGCTGAGCAGGAAGCCTGATGCGGGGCTCGATCCTAAGACCTCGGGATCATAACCTGAGCCAAAGGCAGATACTTAAGCCAACTGAGCAACCCAGGTGCTCCTGCTTGCCTGATTTTTCAAGGGAGGATGGAAATCTGGTTTGAGTGAATTCTCCCAGTGCCTTAATATTGGCAATTCATTCTAATCAGGCCTCCATGTCTAGAAGAGACACAGGTAGGGGATGAGTAAAACCTAGGCCTGAGACCTCCGACCCACAGCCTGTTTCTTCAAGTGCAGGGGCTGGAGGGGTCTAAGCCGAGCAGCCCTACACTGCGATGAGAGATGTAGCTTCAGACCGTCAGTCCTAGGGGTGGCTGAGCCGGGGGGTTCCCTAAAGGAATGCCATGCTGGATGCCTCCCAGCACTGAGGCCATTACAAATGCAGGTCTGTCATCAGAGCCAGGAAAGGCATGGTGACCGAATCTGGTAAAATTGTCCCTGGGCAGGGGAGCGATCTTGAAAATGTTTAGAGAGCAAACATCAGGGAAGGAGAACGAGGTTAAGTATAAAATATAAAACAGGATTCCTAAGGAGAAGCAGGGATCACGGGACCTTGAGCAAAAGTGATGCAAAGCAGAGAAAGGCGGGCCTGAAGAGAGAGGTGGAAGGGACTGGCAAGGGGGCCTGAGGGCTTATTTGGGGCAGGGCATCTATAGCCAGGGGCGAGAGGCCGGCAGGAAGGCACCTGGTCTCCCAGGCCTCCAGCTTGGCCCCTACTCTCTTGCAGAGACCCCGCTTCCACTTCGAATTCAGCTCCCTCCAGAAATCCAGGAGTTCCGGGAAGTCACTCTGACCTGCTTGCTGAATTTCTCCTGCCCTGGGTACAATATCCAGCTGCAGTGGTCCCTGGAAGGGGACCCTGGAGGGTCCTTGAAGGAGCGTGCCATCACCTTGACCTCCCTGACCACCAAGACTATCTCCACCCAGAGCAAGCTCACCTTCCAGCCGCAGTGGATGCACCACGGCAAGAATCTGACGTGCCAGCTCTGGGACCGCAAAGCAGAGCAGATGCTCTCCAAGGAAACGGTGTTGCTAGATGTGAAGCGTGAGTGCCCCCCAGGGCCCCAGGGGAAGGATGAGATTCTTGTCTCTTCTCCTCCACCTCAGAGTGTGCCAAGGGTATTGGGTACCGACACGGAAGGATGCGTAATGCGTCCGTGGACATCCATGGCTGGGAAAGGTCCCGCCAGGGCTACGTCCCTCCATCACCCCTGTTCTTAGGCCCAGCATTTTGGGGAACAGCTTTGTCTTAGCATCTGGTTTGGTCTAAGAGAATAACATAATATCCTTGAGCTCTGGTGTGAATTTGAGATCATGTGGTTAGGTTTTTTACTTCCCCTGGGTGGAGGGGGCGCGGGGTAAGAAATGTCTTCACATCATTGTTTGTGCCTCATTCATTCATTCAGTAATATTTACTACGAGCCTCCTAGGTGCCAGGCCTCTTCTTGCCCACTGAGGAGCTAGCGCTGCAGCTGGGGAAGACAGACAATGACTAGATTAACAAAGAGATGCCGATCTTAAGGGTGGGCAGTGATAAGTGTATTGGGGGGAAGCAAAGCTGGGCTCGGACAAAGAGAGGGAGGGACAGAGGCCTCTCTGAGGACAGTGAGCTTGGGTGGAGGGAAAGATTGAGGCAGGTAGCTATTTGCCACAAGATCCCAGGAAGAGAAAAGAGGAAGGACAAAGGCCTGGGGGTGGGAGCTTGGTGCACCTGTGTCAGAGTGAGGGGCTGGAGAGCCTCAGCCCTGTGTCCAAGGGGCCAAGTGGTAGGAAAGGAGGGCCAACACCAGACCTCGTGGGCGGCAGTGCAGTTTTGGATTTTATTCTGCATGGGGAATCCACTGAGCAGTTTCAAGCAGGGGAGTGGCCAAGTCTGACTGACAGGATCAGGAAGACAGCTGACTGCTGGTGGAGACCAGAACTCTGGGAACGGGTTATAGGGTGGCGCACAGAGCAGAGACTGGTTAGGAGTCTGGTGACGGTCACCAGGTGCTTGGACCAGCCCACCCTTGTTGACAAGGGGGACAGCAAGTTCCGCCCACCCTCACCCACTGTGTATAGGCCGCTGCTTTATCTGAATCAAAGCCCTGCAACGTCCCCACTACGTGGCACCCTCTGAGGAGTCTCCGCCCCCCTCTCCCGCTGCCCCTCTGCTCCTCCAGATGTCCCAAAGTTGAAGATTGAGGGCAGTCCCGAAGGAGCCAATGTAACAGAGGGAGAGTCTGTGACCATGACGTGCCAGGTCATTAGCAGCAACCCAGAGGCCCGGAACATAGCCTGGCTCAAAGACGGCACCCAGCTGAGGAAGCAGACGACATCTACGCTCACTCTGTTCTCTGTGACCAAGAAGATGAGTGGAAAGTACCAGTGTGAGGCCTTCAATGATGTAGGCTCAGGACGGTCGGATGCAGTGGTCCTCCAAGTATATTGTGAGCCTCCTGGGAGCTGGGAGCGGGGGGAGGGGGGCAGGCAGGGAGTTAGCAGGGCGTGGAACCGAGGCCCTGGAGAGGTGAGCAACAGGGGCCTCTGTTCACCTCCCTCTTCTGCCTCTGCAGATGCTCCAGAACCTTCCAGGGTTGAGATCTTCTCCTCGCCAGCTAAGGAGGGGGATAAAGTAGAGATGACTTGTATGTCACTGGCCAATCCTCCTCCAACCAATTACACCTGGTATCACAACGGAGTGGCAGTGCCGGGAAGCACAAGCAAGAGCTTCCAGATCCCAGCGGTCCTCCTCAGCCAAGCTGGGAAGTACTCATGCATGGCAGAAAACAGACTCGGTCCTAGTCAAATTGGCCAGGAGACTGAGTTAGACGTCCAGTGTGAGTAGTCACAGGGCCTCTGGGTTCTAGCGGGAGGAGGAGGCAGGCCGATGGGGTGAAGGAGAGTCCTGGACCCCCCTGGCAAGCAGGGGGTCTCCCGACACGTACGCTCCTTGGGCAGGTGCCTCACTACTGTTCCGAGTTGTATACCCAGCACCAGAACAGGGTCTGGCTCGTAACAGGTGTTCAGTAGATGTTTGTTGAATGAATGAACAGCAAGATGCCAGGGCCCGTGAGTGACGCGGAGAACTTGGTGTCACTTAGTGCTGGAGCTCCAGAAGGGGGCCTGAAGTTTTCGAGAACTGGAGCAAAATGTCTCACCGCCTTTCATCAGAGGTCAGACCGGATCAGAGTCTCATCCGTCAGTCGAGCCCGTGACCAAGAGAATCCCTAAGTTTGAGCCTTGGACCCTGAGATGTCAGAGTCTGAGTCAGATACTCACTCTGATGGGGATGTTCGAACCCTGAACATCTAGACAGTGGGTGTGTGAAGCAGCAGCAGCAGCCACGTTTCCAGAGTGTTTACTCCTCTCTGAGGGCTTCATCCCAGTTCCTCCTGGCAGGGACTCTACCAGGTCAGGTGGTCTTAGGACCCCATCTAATGGAGAGCACACTGAGTCCCACAGCCCACCATCACTCAGCTCGCAGCCCATCCGGCTCCAGGGCCGTGCTTTTCCCTTTCTCCCCACCCAGGGAATGCCTGCACTACAGCGGACTAGCACTGTGCCCCAGGCCCCCGTGGAGACCCACAGACGGGGCGCCTCTACCTTGCACACGCCATGCATTCTCTGCTTGAGCTCTGCTCTAGTCACCATGCCTCAGACCACAGCCAGGGCTCCGGTCCTCATACAGACCCAGGAGGGAAGCACAAGCCTTCCTTTGGTAGATTTAGGAATTGTGTGAATGCAGGGGATATGCTGGGGCGGGGGGTGGCGGAGAAGGCACTGGGAAAGGTAGCCTGGACAGCAGACTTTTCCTTGCCCATCTGTCTGGTTTTCTCCCAGATGCTCCCAAGGAGGTAACCACGGTGATTGAAAACCCCACGCGGATTCAAGAAGGAGATACTGTGACCCTGTCCTGTAACTACAGTTCCAGCAATCCCAGAGTTACCCAATATGTATGGGACTTCCAAGGCTCTCAGATGAAACAACCATACGAGGTGCTGATAATTCAAAAAGTTGCCTGGGACACCAGGCCAATCACCTGTGCAGCCTGTAACCAGTGGTGTTCGTGGGCTCCCATTGTCAACCTGGATGTCCAGTGTGAGTGACCGGGCAAGGGGACCCAAGAGGTAGCCCAGCTGTGATATGGGCTCTCAGGGCGAGGGGCCTGGGGCCTGGGCCGGAACCTTCACAGAGAATTAAGGGCTGAGAGTCTGGCCTCAGGGCCAAGGGGAGAGGAAATCATGGGGACAGGAAGAGGGAAAGGGACCCAAGAGGCCAGCCTGAGGCCCTTGCTCTCCAGATGCACCCAAGGATGTCAGGGTCCAGCAGATCATCCCCTCCTCTGAGATTCACTCCGGAAACCGAGTCCGCCTTGAATGTAACTTCTCAAGTAGCCGCCCCAGAGACGTCCGCTTCTTCTGGAAGAAAAATGGAATCTTTCTGAAGGAAGGAAAAGAACTGAGCTTCGACTCTGTCTCTCCAGAAGATGCTGGCAATTACAACTGCTTTGTCAACAACTCCATAGGTCAGACCATGTCTGAGGCCAGGACGCTCCAAGTGCTGTGTGAGTGCATGGCTGGGGCTGGAGACAGGCCGAAGAGCCCGTGACCAGCTACCTGGATCCTGATTTTGCTTCTCCTTATAGATGCACCAAGGATGCTGCATGTGGTCATCAGCCCAAAGGACCAAGTGATGGAGGGGAAGAAGGCCATCCTGACATGTGAGAGCGACGCCAACCCTCCGGTCCGCCTGTACACCTGGTTTGACTGGAAGAACCAAAATCTCCACCATTATGATCAGATGCTGAGACTGGATCCCGTGAAGATCCAGCACTCAGGTGCCTACCGGTGCGAGGCCACCAACCAGCTGGGCAGGGTCCAGTCGCCCCCCAGTACCCTCACTGTCTACTGTAAGTCTCCTCCTGGCCCCTCCTCCCCTTACCCCTCCCCTGCCGTCCTGTGGGGTGGCCCAGCAGGTCACTTCCTGCTCCGCACAGGCTCACCTGTCTGCCTCCTTCTCTCGAGACTTCTCCCGACCTCTCTAGGAGGGTTCCCTCTAGGCCTGCCCCTGCCTGCCAGACATCCTGGGCTCTTTCTCTGTCTCACCCCTGATAGACTGCTCATCTTTATCTTGAGATTTCAGTATTTTTTTTAAGATAAGGTAAAATAAAATAGCATGAAAAAGTAAATAATAGAAAGACACCTCTCCTTTCTTTCTCCCTGAGGACTCTACCCCCTCCCTAAAGGCCTTCAGCACTGGCTGCTGGTTGCATCCCCTTACAGAGCTATTCTGTACACGCACAATACCATATAAGTTGGTCTATGTCTGTACACCCTCCATCACGTGCACACTTTGTCCTGGACGTTCTTTTTTTCCCATGTAACAATGCCACTCGGAGACTGTGCTATATCCATGTGTGTACAGAGTGTATGAAGAGTCTGGAAACAATAGGGAAGATATTTAATTGACTTTTTCAGATTAAACTTGGAGCTATGGCTTTAGATTTAGAGGGTGGTGGCCTGCCAAGCTGGATGCCTGAACGGGTTCTTTGGAAATGCGACATATTGTATAAACACCCGTGTCTGGGGTCTCCACTTTGCAGACACCCTAGAGACCTGCCTTTTCCCCTCAGGGCTGCATTGTCATTGTCTTCCCGGGCACAGAAGCGACAAACGCTATCCACCCCGTGCCTTTCCCCACAGCCCTGCGCTGTCTCCAGCTCTGGTCCCACTGAAAGACAGTTGCAGGAGAAGTTCTGATAAGTATGGCCAAGCAGCCGCTAAAGAAGTTGTAGCTTGTACTGCGTGTCCTATGTGTGCCTGTGTCTGTCACAAAACAGATGCTCTCCTGAGAGTCAGACCTTCCCCCACCCAGGCCCCAGTAGGCAGGGGCCAGCTTCTCCCTTTTTCTATATCTTGGCCCCTGCATATGGAGAAGTTGCCCGGGCAAGGACAGTGGCCACGCAGAGAAGCTGAGGATGCCTCCTGGGCAAATGCTGCAAAGCAGAGCTGGCCATGATCCGAGAGAGGCAGGATCCCCAACTCATGGTCGCTCCTTCCCCCACCAGACAGCCCGGAGACCATCGGCAGGCGAGTGGCCGTCGGAGTGGGGTTCTGCCTGGCCACCCTCCTCCTGGCGTTCTGGGGAGTCAAGCTTCAGCGAAGGTAAGCTCCTCCCAAGGCCCACATCCTGGGCTCTCCCTGATACCTTTCCCTGAGTGACTCTGGTTGGCCATCCTGGAGCCCCCCCAGCATGCCCACTGCAAGGGGTCCTGTCCCCACTCCCCGATCCTCACAGAGCGGGGCTTTATTTATTAGCTGGAAGAGGATACGGAGCCAGCAGGGGCTCCAGGAAAGTTCCAGTGGCCAGAGCTTCTTTGTGAGGAAGCAAAAGGTAAGAAATGGAAAAAGATGACCAGGAGGGCAGACTCAGAAGTCAAGGGGAGACAAAGGGAAGGGGGGATGCAGAGCATGGTGGGGGGGAGGTCAGAGGTCAGAGGCCAGGGGAGGGGGACTCTGGTGAAGAAAGGAGTGGCAAAAGCTGAGGCCTTGTCTCTCTCCCAGGTTAGAAGGGCTCCGCTCTCCGAAGAGCCCCACTCCCTGGGGTGCTACAATCCTGTGATGGAAGATGCCGTCAGTTATGCTGCCTTGCGCTTTCCTGTCAGCGACAATGACACACCAAGAACTGGGTACCGAGTGAGGGTCCCGGGATGGGGACACGTGAACCCAGGGAGGGCTGTGGGAGGAACAGCTCGGCTCGTGTCCTGCCTGCCCTCTTTGCGGCAGGCCCATGAGTCAGGCTCCGCTCTGGGGTGCTCTCAGGGGCTAGGGGAGGTGGAAACAGGAAGAGTTCACGCAAAAGTCTTCATCTGCGGCCATCCACCCACCCTCCTTCAGAGATGCAAGGACCCTGGAGACAGAGGGACCTTCTCCAAACACGGATGACACCGTCACTTACTCTGTCTTGAAGAAGTGTCGAGTGGTAAGGGGACTGGGCTGGGGAAGGAGGGGGTGCCCCAGATGGGAAGGACTTGGCGGCCTCTGCGGTGGCAAGGGCTGGTGGGGGGCGGGGGGTTGCTCAGACACAGGTGTGGTGGGAGCCAGGGCGGACGGCCAGTCCGAGATGCTGACTGCAGCCAGCGTGGGGGCAAGAGGACTTCCGCTCGGGCTCCTGGACCCTCAGGAGGAGCCAGGGAGGGACGAGGCCGGGAACGCAGATTGGGAGGCTGGCGGCCGTGAGGCCCACCTCACACCGTGTGGCTTTCTCAGGGCGACTATGAAAACGTGCTTCCGGACAGTCCAGAAGATGAGGGGATACACTACTCGGAGCTGGTTCATCTCGGGGTCGGGGAGCGGCCTTTGGCCCAGGAAGCCGTGGAATACGTGACCCTCAAGCACTGAGGGGCCACACCCACTGGAGCAGAGGCACCGAGGGAGAGACCAGAGGGAGAGACCAGGGACCAAGGAGCTGGCCCCACCCCTGCCGCTCAGCTGCAAAGCCACACAACCTCCCTTCCACAACCAAGCACACGCACGCGCACACGCACACCATCACTGATGCCCCGGTCAGCGCCCAGAACTTCGTATGTGGCCCAGGGATGGGCTTCCTTCTCCACGCTGGTGACCCTGACCTTCCCAAAGACCTTCCTTGTCCGCTCTCCTTCCCACTAGGAAAGTCGTCTAAACCCCGATCCTGCACTGCACACATCCCCCTGCCCCTTCCTGGCCACCTGCTGCTTACCCCCACCCCCACCCCCAAACCCCATCCCCAGCGGGCCGGCGTCCCTGCTGGGGTCAGCTTGTGACTGTATTTTTTCCTTTCCCTCTCCATCCGTTTGGACCTCTCACCCCTGCTCTGAAAGCCCCACTCACTGGTCCTGTGCCTAATTTCTGCCTCTGGGGCAAAGCACAGGGATAGAGCGGCTGTCCTGAGCTGGGTTCTCCTCCACAGGTCAGCGAGGCATTCCATTACGCTGCTGCAGCCCCTCCCCATGGGGGTCTGGTGGGCTGAGACACACACTGGTGTGGACAGACTGTGTAACACACACAGAGCTGCACAATAAAGATGGCTCAGATACCACCTCAAAGAATCCATGAACGATTCCCATCTGTGGGGTCAGAGTGAGAAGGGGGAGATGCAGGAGGGCCTCGTGGGACCTGGGGAGAAGGGAAAGCGGTCGAGGCAACCTCAAGGTCAAATCAGCAGCCTGGGGAGTCCGTTGTCGTGTTGCAAAGGGTGCACTGACCCTGCAGGCAGACCAGCACAAGTCCAAGTCCTGACACTTCTGCTAACAAGCTCAGTGATCTTGGGCAAGCTCACCAGCCCATCTGAGCCTCAGTTTCTTCATCCGCAAAATGGAGATGCCGCCACTTATGGGGCAGGCGGCTCAAGACAGGAAGTGAGGACATATATACTGGAGTCACTTTTCAGAAACCTAACACAACAGCCCAACGTCCCTAAAAACCAGATTGCCATCTTGTTTGCCACTCTTGAAGAATGCAAGAAGGAGAACCCGATTCATCTCTCGCAGCTCTTCTCAAAAGTCCTGCTGCCGAGTTTGGTCACACCCCCCAGTTGCCCAAGAACTTCTCGAAAGCCAGCTGCCTTGAGAAATCTCATCGCTTTCCTCTTGACCCACTGTCACCATTACCTGTTCCCTGCCAGGTTCGCTAATTCGGACTTTCCACTTCGGTCCTCCCAGTTTCCCCACCATGTACAGGTTTGACCTTTCTCCACTTATTCTTAAAAGCAGAAACACGTGGGTAATCCATCATCAAGGGGACGCAAGTTCCTGGCCCGTGGTGGGCGCTGCACAAATTCCACCTTTCTCCCCTGTGCTCCCTTCCCGTCTGCTCGAGACCAGAATCTGCTCTCTGAGAAGACGACGTTCTGGTCATTCTTGGAATTGTACCAGAACAAGGCACTCATTTCCCCACCAATCCACTTTGTCGCCAGTGTGAGTTAGCATTTCTGGAGGAAGGGGGGACAGCCAGAACTGTCTCAGGCAGAAGGTAAGGGTTTAGGTTTTCTGTCTCTAGAATGAGGTCCAGGATCATTCGCCCACTCAACCGTGTATTCAGCAAACATTTACCGAACACCTGTCAGCGCATCCAGTATAGAGCAGTTGTTGGGGGTATAAAAAAGAAACGACATCAGCCTCATCGTGGGAACCTCTAGTCTAGGGTACCCATAAGGTTTTAGGGCATGATCCCCTCTAAGGAGCTAGAGGCAGCCCTGAACCTGGTGAGGCCTGGCACGGGCTCCCTGGCAACCAGCAGGTGCCCTGCCTTCCTGTTCAAGCCCAGCTGCCAACATTAACCTACTCCGTGACCAACTGACCGAGAGATGTGGCTGTCAACAGGCCAACAGAATTCAGACAGCTCCGAAGCCAGGGCTTCCAGAATTCAGGCAGCAATCCACACGGCCCCAGATTTCCCTGTCCTCTCAGGGCCCAGACAACCAGCCATTCATTCACTTACTGAGTCCTACTATGGCCAACAAGCAGGGGATAAAGCAGACAGAAATCTTGGGCCTCACTGACCAACATCCCAGCAGAGGAGCCAGCAAATATGATATCACAGGCTCATGAATGCTAGGAATAAACACAGCGTAAGATGAAGATAGACTGGAGGGGGGAGGGACCCATCTGGAGAGGGTTTAAGGAAGGCCCTCCGCGGAGGTGACACTGGGCAGAGACCTGAGCCGGCAGAGGCATGGTGCTGAGGCAGAGATCTTGAAGATCCAGGGTCTCCCCTCACACCCTGCTTTTTTCTTCTTCCAAATGCTTGTTACAGGAGGTGAAATGGCCCTTCTTTTGACTTTTCCTGTGTTCTGTCAGTTTCCGAAGATAAAATACTAAACACAGATGGCAAGTTCTTCTACAGCCCAGGGGAGGTGCTGGACCACCTATGTAGGACAGGGAAGGGAGGCAACCAAGACTCAGTTGAGCAAATGAAGTAGAAAACGGGGATCCAATCATGTCTTTGGAGGCCGTGGTTGGTATGCTGAGAATCCCTTGCTGCCTCCACCAGAAGCCTGGTGGGGAGCACTTCGGGAAACCACTAGCGAATCTCGTTCTAGGTGACGTGGAATCTGGGAGAATGTGGCGGCCTGATGACTGACACACACACCCAAAAAAAGTCCAGAGAGAGGCTGTATTGTCCATTTGAGGGAGAGACAGACAGGCAGAGAGAGAGAGAGAGAGACACAGGCATAGTCAGAGACAGACAGAATCATAGAGACAGGCTGTGGCCACTTTAAATCCCAGTCGGGTCTTTCTAGAGAGGCAGGGTGACCCCAGTAGGGGGTAAACAGCTAAATTCTGAGAGGCTGAGAAGAAATCTAAGCAGGCAGCTGGAGTCTCACACCATGTATGCTTTACTGAGAGCCACTCAGTGTCCCTCCATGTGCCCCAGAGAGAAGCCTGGCACCTTAGTGCCATCAAAGGAAACCCATCCTTGGTCTGTCCTCCTCCCCATTCCTGTCAGCACCAGAAGGCAGGGTCAGAAACTACTGTCACTGAGCCAGAGGGCAGAGGAGAGGGAAAACCTTCTCCTCCCAAAACGTGCCCACAGCCTGTCGCAGAGGCAACACCTTGGAATGATGACTTCAGCATCCCCACATCAGTCACCAGATGGATATGGTGCAGGTCATCCAAGCTTGTTACCTATGAGTGAGTGCTGCCCACTAGCCAGGGCCTGCCCATGGGCTCATCCGGGAGGAGAGAAGACAGTGCCAGAGCAGGTCTGAACGGGCTGGGGTGGGGTGGGATTGAGCTGTGCTCTGGTCGTACCCCGACAACCCTGCTCCTTTAAGGGACTAGCTACACACTCCTCCTGCTGCCTAGGGGAAGAACCCTCGTTGCCACTCTGTCCCCTTCCTGTGTTTGCATCATCTGTTTGGACCCTCACCTCCTTGCCGCAGCTCCTGCTCGAGATGCCCCATTAGCTGCTCACCCAGGCTGCTGATGCCTTGGGCTAATGGCCTGCCGCCCCGCCCTCCTCTCCCTTCCGGCTCACTGCCTATCCTGGACACCCTCCCTCAGCCTGGCCAGGGGGACTCCTGAGCCTCAGAGACATCTGGCAATGCCAAGAGGTAAGTCCCTCTTTCTGTGGCTCCTCTCTCCATGGCGATTATTCCCCCACACTCCTCCATTTACCCATTTAGGGTGCCCCCGAAGTTGGCTAAGCTCATTCCCTTTGGCACTGATGGGACCTGGCTTCCCCTCTGGCTCTGCTCTGCCACCCCCTGTGCCTGCCCTTGGCCACAGCCTCTACCTTACCCAAATCCTGACATTCCCTCCACACCCCACCCCAACTAGGAGTTGCCTGCAACCCTCATTGGCTGCTATGCAGACTCTCAGCCATCCCTTTTGGGAGGACAGGGGCAGCTGCTTCCCTTCCCAGGGAATTGGGGGAGGGGAGTGGACACAGGACTCTAACTTCCTGTCCTAGGAAAAACACACACCCCGTGGGGCCCAACTATGTACTAATTTTCTACCCTTTCTCTACCCAGTCTCAGAAATCAGGAGGCTTTTCCTCTAATGGGACGTGCACGCTTTCCATTGTGTTTTAAGAGAGGACATGGTGGAAAGGAAGTAGAGGACTGAGGTCGAGCCGTCCTCACTTCGAATCCAGACTCACCGTCGTACTGGCACCATCTCCCTCATGGGCCTCTCTGCTTGAGATAGTTGTCATCCCATTAGATGACTTCTAACACCCTGAGCAGTGTGTGACCCCCAGGAACCCCTGAGCACCACCCCTCACCTCGCCCCAGGCCTATCCAAGGGTGGGGAGGAAGTAGAGCTCAGGAGCGTGGAGGCCAGCCCTGGCCCCATGGACCTGCCTCCGCAGCTCTCTTTTGCCCTCTATGCGGCCGCCTTTGCGCTGGGCTTCCCACTCAACGCCCTGGCCATTGGGGGTGCTGTGTCCCACGCCCGGCTCCGCCTCACCCCTAGCCTTGTCTATGCCCTCCATCTGGGCTGCTCTGACCTCTTGCTGGCAGCCTCTCTGCCCCTGAAGGCAGTGGAGGCCCTGGCCTTGGGTGCCTGGCCTCTGCCGGCCCCACTCTGTCCTGCCTTTGCTCTTGCCCACTTTGCTCCACTCTATGCTGGTGGGGGCTTCCTGGCTGCCCTGAGCGTCGGCCGCTACCTAGGGGCTGCTTTCCCCCTGGGCTACCAAGCTGCCCGGAGACCGTGCTACTCCTGGGGGGTGTGTGCGGCCATATGGGCCCTTGTCCTCTGTCACCTGGGGCTGGTGTTTGGGTTGGAGGCTCCGGGAGGCTGGATGGACAATACCACCAGCTCCCTGGGCATCAACACACCAGTCAATGGCTCTCCAGTCTGCTTGGAGGCCTGGGACCCAGCCTCAGCAGGCCCCGCTCGCCTCAGCCTCTCTCTCCTGCTCTTCTTCCTGCCCCTGAGCATTACAGCCTTCTGTTACGTGGGTTGCCTTCGGGCACTGGTCCGCTCAGGCCTGAGCCACAGACGGAAGCTAAGGGCAGCCTGGGTGGCTGGCGGGGCGCTGCTCACACTGCTGCTCTGCTTAGGACCTTACAATGCCTCCAATGTGGCTGGCTTCCTGCGACCCAACATGGGAGGCTGCTGGCGGAAACTGGGGCTCATCACAGGGGCTTGGAGTGTGGTGCTCAACCCGCTGGTGACTGGCTACTTGGGAGGGGCTACCGGGAGGGTGACAAGTGTGGCAAGAACAAAAGGAGGGACATCCCAGAAGTAGTAGCCCCTGCTGGGGAGAAAGGGCATGGAAGAGAGCTGGTTGCTTGTCTGGGCCCCTGGAGCCCAGAGCAAAAGAAACTGCAGGGCAGCGTGGCCTGCTTATGGAAAGAACTGAGCCTGCCAGAAGACTGCATCCCAGCTGGAGGGCAGAACGGAGGTCCGGAGCTAGGTCACAGCAAGAAGGTAAGCTTGCCTCTGTACACATCAGCATGATTCCCTACCTCTGCCTGTCCCTTTTCTCCTCGTGCCCCACCTGCCAGTGCTACGGAAGTTTTCTTCCAATATAGAGGAAATGCCACTCTGATGACACACTTTGGGAGACGCTACTCGCAAAATATTTCCTTGGAAAGAACAGTTTAATTTCCCAATAAGAGACGACGCAGGAGCAAGATACTGATGCTGTTATACCATCTGGAACTCACAAGAGGGCACCATTCGAACTGTGAATGGGAAGTTGGTAGGAAAAGCTGCCTCAGCAGGGAGAAAAAATACTAGCAACACCAGAAATAGTCATGAACAAACACAGAGTCTCTGAGACTTGACAGTCACCATATCGAGCACTTTAAAAGTGTCCCATTTCACACAACCCTTTGATATGGCCATGCAGCTGCTGTACACATGGGCAGGTGGTTCACTGCACAAGCGTGCCAGACAGAGGGGCAAACATTGATCAAACTCTAACCTGAGCTTTGCTCACCAAGCCATGTGCCTGGCATGGGGCTGTTTCCATCCGAAGGAAAGAATATGTTATTCTAATCTGAACAAAGGTACCTCTTACTCCTCAAGCAGTGCACCCTGGTGGAGGGTGCTGCCACCTGGGGGGGGGCGCCTTTTCCTCATTTGTACAGAGGCACTATGTAAGTTAGCTACAGTCCTGGAACAAGTATTACCACCATCTTCATTTTGCAGGTTAAGAAATGTTCCCAATGACAAACCATAAGAGACTCTTACTGTCACAAAACAAAGTGAAGGTGACGGGGGAGGGGGTTAGGGAGAGGGTGGTGGGGTTATGGACATTGGGGAGGGTATGTGATATGGGGAGTGCTATGAAGTGTGTAAACCTGGTGATTCGCAGACCTGTACCCCTGGGGCTAATAATACATTATATGTTTATTTAAAAAATTAAAAAAAAAAAAGAAATGTTCCCAAGGCCCTACAGCAAGGAAAGGGTGGATGTGGGATGCGATACTTCAAGGCAGGACCTCCAAAGGGCAGGGACATTTGAAAAACTGGGTATCAGGGTAAACGCCTGTCCTTGTGGTCCACTTTGCAAAGGTGAACGGTGGCACCCTCAACCTGTGAGAGAGTGGGTAGAGGAGAGCGGCCATGGAGGAGACAAACATCTGGGCATCTGCTCTGATGAGGCGAGGTGCAGGAAACAGACTTGTTCCTTTAAAGACGATAATGCCACGGACATATAAGACACAGGAAGGCTAGTTATGTACCCGGCATGCACGAACCGGTTTATACAAGCTATTTCTTTTTATGCATAGATGTCCATGAGGGCAAGGCATTTTATTTGCTGATATATTCCCAGCACCTAGAGGGGAGCCTGGCACATAGCAGGCTTTCATTCAATGTTTACTGCATGAATGAATGTTCACAATAACCTTCCAAGGAAAACGTTATTTCCTGTTGTATAACTAAAACAGACCAGAGAAGTTATGAAACTTGCCTGAGGCTCTGCAGAAGTGAGAAACAAGTTTATTCCCTGCACAGTGGTGAGACCAACGAATTTCAGTGTAAGCTGACCTCTAGCCCAAGTGGCCTCACTCCCCTCCTCCCAGAAAGCCAGGGACCGCTCTCTCTCCCACTGCTCAGGAGCACCTGCTGCTTCTGGACCACTTCTTCTGGAGAATTGTACCTGCTGCTTCTAAGGGTGGAATTTAGGGTCCCTGAAGCCCCATGTGATCTGCCACCAGCACCCTCATGACCCTTGTTCTTTAAGCCCGAAGGCTCCTACGTGTTCTCCAAGCAGGTCAGCCCATGCACCTGTCATACTGTTTGCCTTAAGTGCTTCCACCATGGCTCTCTGCCTTTGTGCCACTGAGGTTTTATTACCCTCTGACCACTCCATTCCCCGAGATCTCACTCCCATGAAACCCACGACAGCAAAAACTATTTTCAACTTATTTGAGATAAAATCGATACCTCATAAAATTCACCCATTTTAAGTGTACAAGTCAATGCTTTTCAGCAAATTTACTAAGGTAGGCAACTCTCACTTTCATCCAGTTTAGAACATTTTCATCTGCCCAGTAAGACCCCGTCCTGGTCATTTATAGTAAATCCCCCTAAGTCCCCAGGACAACGAGTAATCTATTTTCTACAGATACAAATTGGCCCATTCTGGACATTTCATATACATGGAAACATACAGTGTATGGCCCTTTATGTCTCACTTGTTTCACTTTGCACGTTTTTGCGGTTATAGTACTCATAGGTATTTCATTCCATCTTACAGGCAAACAGTATCCCATCGTAGGGACAGGGACAGGCCACGATACATCCTTTCAGCAGCTGATAGACCACCGGTGGCAGGGGGGGTGGTTTCCTACTTTCTGGCTAATATGAATAATGCTATTGTGAACACTGCTGAAGCAGATATGGATGGTGGAGCTGGATCACACAGTAAACTGATATTAACTGTTTTAAGAAACTGCTTTCCAAGGTCACTCTACCATTTCATATTCTTACCAGCAACGTATGAGAGGATTCCCACTCCTTAACCTCCTGCCAACCATCTGGCCTTGTCCGATTTTTTGCCTATAGCCATTCCAGCGGGCATAAAAGGGTTATCTCACTGTACTCCATAAATATTTGAATGAATAAACCCATAATCTCTGAAGTCAGACAGAAGTGGGGTTTGAACCCCAGGGGTGATCCTTAACAAGCTGCGTTGCCTGGAGTGAGTCACTTCCCCACCGAGGAGCCCGAAGACAGAACGGCGATGCCCTCAAGGGCATTGTGTCTGCTACTGATTATGTGACCCCTAAATCATCATTACCGTCATTAGTCTTCTCGTTATTACCATCACCCCGGAGACAAGCCCACACTAGTGACCAGGATGATGGCAGCCACCATCTGTTAGGTACCTACCACCACACGCCAGGTTCCCTTCTCAGCCCTTGACATATTAATGCTCTCATCTAATGACAACCCTATGAAATTGGTACTGGGATGGTCCCTCCTTTGCAGATGGAGAAGCAGAGACAGAGTTTAGGTCACTTGCCCGAAATCACAGAGTCAGTGACAGAGCCGACAGCACAGCCAGGCCACTGGCTCCAGATCCTCAGGCTCTCCATCACTGCCTTAGGCTGCCTGTCCTTATAAGGCAAATTAGATGGCTGCCGTTCCAGAGAAGCAGATAAGAATCAAGTGGGGGATCCGAGAGGGGAAGATGAGATTGGCTCAGGGTCGTCTCAGGCATCCCGTCTGAGACAGCGCGAGAGCAAGGCACAGAGTAGTGGAATTTGCTCCTCATTTTGCATATTGGCTGGAGCTGATAAAGGAGCTAAATGCATCTTTTGTGCGATTGCTCAATGGTGAATGATGTCATGGGTCTTTATCAGTTCTGCCAGATAATAGCTAACTTACACTGTTCTCCAGAAGCTGGCAAAGAGCTGGGCGCAGAGCAGCTGAGTTCTCAAATAAGCAGGTAAGCATGGGGCCCTGCGGGGCTTGAGAGGGGGCCCCTTGGTGGAAAGGGACAGGAAATAGGGTACGACCAAGAAGACAGGCAGGCTGACCATTTTGGAGAAAGCATCAGAGGGCACGAAGGGGCTGCGTGGAGGGGCGGGGGACAGTGTTCCCTGCCAATGGTTGAGATGCTGCTGGCATGAGGCATGAAGTCCCCCCACCCCCGAGCCTGTCCCCTCCATCTAGCTGTCTCTTTCTCCAGTGGCCATCACCATGGGCACAAGTCCGAAATGGTCCTTCTTCCCCGGTGATCACTGGCTCTACTTCTCCGTGTACCTCTTCACCTTCATCGTGGGGCTCCCCCTCAACATAATGGCCCTGGTGATCTTCGTGGGCAAGCTGCGGCGGCGCCCGGTGGCTGTGGACGTGCTTTTGCTCAACCTGACCCTCTCCGACCTGCTCCTGCTTCTCTTCCTGCCATTCCGCATGGTGGAGGCCGCCAGTGCCATGCACTGGCCCCTGCCCTTAGTCTTCTGCCCCCTCTCTGGATTCCTCTTCTTCACCACCATCTACCTGACCTCCCTCTTCCTCACAACTGTAAGCATTGAGCGCTTCCTGAGCGTGGCCTACCCACTATGGTACAAGGCCCGGCCCAGGCCTGGACAGGCCAGCCTGGTCAGCGGGGTCTGCTGGCTCCTGGCCAGCGCTCACTGCAGCGTGGTCTATGTCACTGAATTCTCAGGGAACTCCTCCCACAGCCAGACTACAAACAGCACCTGCTACTTGGAATTCGAGGAGGCCCAGCTGGCTGTCCTCCTCCCCGTCAGGCTGGAGATGGCTGTGGTCCTTTTTGGGGTGCCCCTGCTCATCACCAGCTACTGCTACGGCCGCCTGGTGTGGGTGCTCAGGAGGGGAACCAACCACCGACTGAAGCGGCGGGTGATTGGGCTTGTGGCAGCCACCCTGCTCAACTTCCTTGTCTGCTTCGGGCCCTACAACGTGTCTCATGTCGTGGGCTACATCAAGGGTGAAAGCCCGGTGTGGCGAAGTTATGTGCTGCTTCTTAGCACCCTGAATTCCTGTGTTGACCCCCTTGTCTACTACTTCTCATCATCCGGATTCCAGGCTGACTTTCACGAGCTGCTGAGAAGGCTGACGGGGGGACAGGGGCCCTTGGAAGCTGGAGGGCAGCATGAAGCTAAAGAAGGGTGAGGAGGGGGGCAGCCATGGGAGCTGTCCAACGTAGGGAACAGGAAGCGGACTCTGGCAGTGGCCAGGCAGTTCCTAGCTGGAGTCAGGCAGGACTGGGGAGTGAGATGGGGGAGCCAGGAGTTGATGCAGCTGGGGCGGAGCAGGCACCCAGCCTCCCCAAGGATGCTCACCCAAGCCTAGCTCTCGGCCTTACCCAACTGCCCTCCTTTTCCATTCCCCCTCTGCCCCCCCCCACCCCTGAAGCTGTGGATTGAGCCCTGGGAGACAGTCAGGATGAGAGCATGCTCTGGAGAAAAATGACCTCCCATGGCAGCAGGGCGGCTCCCGTGCTTTTTGGAAGGTAAAGGAGGAGTTGAGAGCAGTGACCAGGGACTGAGGGAGCTGCCTGGTGGCTTGGGACAGGAGGGGGAAGAAGCCACCCTCCAGAGCTGCTCCTACCTTCAGGTCAAGAGTGGGTACACAAAACCCCAGGCTTGAGGGAGCATCCTGCTCTCATGCGGATTTTTCCAGAAAGTTTCCATTGTTCAGTAAATTCAGATTTTCGGGGACATTTATGAAAAATAATAGAAGAAAAATTACCTAAATAAATCTGGCAGTAAGTAAAGGAGAATGGTCTTCCTTATTTTTTTTTTTTTTTTTTTGAGAGAGAGAGAACAGGCATACATGTGCAGGTGGGGTTTGGGGGGATGCAGAGAGAGAGAGAGAATCTCAAGCAGGCTCTATACCCAGTGCAGAGCCTGACACAGGGCTTGAACTCACAACCCTGAGATCATGACCTGAGCTGAAATCAAGAAATCAAGAGTTGGATGCTCAACCGCCACCCAAGGGCCCCTGTCTTTTTCTTATGGTATATCTAGGCCAAATGGTATTGGTGCATGGAAGCATAAAACACCTAGACTCTGAAGGAAAAGAGCTAAAATCCCTAGATGTCAGGAGAGGATCTGTGTCGGAGGAATAAAAGTAACAGCTACTCTATGGGAAGGACTTGGCCTCACCCACTAGCTTCTTCCATCCTCTCACCAACTACAGAAGATACTATGATTATTCCTACTTTGCAGGTGAAGGGATGGGCCAAGAAGCTGAAATCTCCTACCTGAGATCCTACAGTCCATAAGTGATTGCAGCAGGCCTGGAGGCCAGAATTAGCTGACCCCGACTCCCATGTCCCTCACCCACTCTCCTCTTCTGCCTCCAGCTGTGTGTCATCTGCAGAGAGGGGGCTGAGTCTGGCTTCCAGAGCCAGCGAGACAGTCTGCCCAGGACAGATGTAAACAGGCCATGAGGACAACTGGAACGACATGCAAAGCAGCTCGGCTGTTGCTAAGTCCTCTTCCCTCATTATTAGAAACCCACTCGAAAAAACAAAGCTTATCAGTCAGCACAGTTGACTTAAAAGACAGATGTATGTTCTTAAGAGCTATTTTTATCAAGATGGGACCATTTAGTAAGCTTTACTTTCCTACTGAGGGGTGGTGCATGAGAAAGTGTGTGTTAGAGCCTCCTCTACCAGCAAGGCGACCAGAGCAACATGGGCACCTGTTTGTACTCACTCTGCTCTAGTTCAAAAACATTTGTTGTGCACCTACTGTGTGCAGCTGGCTGGGCTGAGAACTGCAAGGGCTTTTAATATGAACGTCTTTAGCATCTGCTTTTCTCCTGGGGTGAAGGTCACTGGAGAACCACGGCTGGCTGTGGGTGCAGGGCTGGGTTTCAGATGGAAGGGGAGAGACATCATCTCAGCGCTGAGATGGAGGCATGCGCTGTCTCTCTGACTGTGACTCATCTTCTGTCCCAAGGCACTCAGCCCTGGTGACAGCTAAGAACTTAATAAAAACATGAGTCTACATGGTTCAGATAGGGAACAAAGGTTGACATGGAGTCCTGTGACTCCAGAATTGGTAACAAGGACCCAACTCAGAACAAAAAGGAATTGGAAATCCCGTGTTCTAGAGAGAGCCACGAAGAACAGGAACCTGACTCCTCTCCCAGGGTTTACAGTGAGGAAGAAGACGCAGCTTTGAGGGCTTTAGGGCTTCCAACTATCCCCCAGCATTAACCCCTTCCCAGTCTGTATAAGCAAAAGGCTAGGGGTGGGGAGAGTGAAAAGTCATCAGAGGCTGGGTAGTTGTCTGGGCCATGGTTAGGGGACTGTGGTGGCATTTTCCATATCTTGCGGAAGCCAAGGGACAGGGGTGCTCAGGGAATGGCAGGTGTCTTCTGCGACTGTTGCCCTGTGCCTGTCCAGGCAGAGAAATGAGACAACAGACAGGTGGCATGGGAGCATCTATGTGCGTGACGAGCACTGTGCTCTCTCACCAGCTGGCCGAGCAAGCAGGTGAGAGCTCCCCATGGGTGAAGTGGAAATTCTACATGCTGGAAGAGGTCAAACCAGGTTGGCTCTCTGAAGACAGAGGTCAGAAGAACTCAATTCTAGCTACAACAGAAAGCCAGTAAGCGGGCATCCAATGCACAGTGGACACCAAAAGCTACTCGGTATTTAGCTAAAGCACTGTTGCCCAAACTTTTTTGTGTCTCCATCCCCTCAAGGAGCCTTGTTGGGTATTTTTTCCTATTCATCACCTTCTTCTGCACTGCCCATGAAATTTTAATACAACACACACACTAGATACCTGTTTATGGGTACGGCCGTTTGGAAGGCCACAAACCATTGCTCCCCTGCGGTTCATTTTCCCCTCTTTGGGGGACAGTGTTGGCCCTGCTGAGAATGCACGAGCTAGAGAAGTGGTTTTGCCTCACAGAGTGATAAGGCCCATCTCACGCAACTGTAGCCCAATGAAGTGACGTTTACTAGGCTGCCGGAGCAAAGGAGACCACATTCCAGAGGAAGCATGGGCGCCTCACCAGAGAAGAGACAGGGGTATTTTAGGATTTGGGGTGAGGGGAATATTTGGGTGAACTTTCAGTGAAGCAGTGCTTGACAAGCTCAACGCAAAGACACCTGTTTGCAAAGAGCTCAATGTCAGGTCCGGGCTGAGAAGTGGACTCTGGGTCCTGTTCTTCTGGAAAATATGAAGAAAAGGTAAAAGCAGAATTCTGTGTCTGAAAACCCTTGTTCTGAAGCTCTGGGAGTTGAAAAGCTGGACTGCTTCTCGGTGTCACACGCTCCCGCTCAGACTCTCGGAGCAGCAAGGGGGATGTTCAGTTCTTCACTGACTGGATTTCAAACAGCCAATTTTCTGACAGCGGGATTTTAGGAAGTAAGGGTTATCAGCAATATAATTTTGTTAATTAAAAAAACAAGTTCTTCAAGGTTTACAAAAGGAACTCATTGATGGCCATGATGGAGGAGGAGATTTCCTTTCCTAGTAGGAAGGGTGCCCCTGCAGCACAACCCAGAAGGAGGAGAGGAAGGACAGACATGACCCATCCCTGCCACAGGTTCTCTGGGCCACAGGTCAGGTCTCAGCATATAGGGAACAGAGAGGAAGCCAGAAGTTTTAAATTTCCAAGTGCACCAGGAACCGAGGGAGGCTATTCACAAAGTCATTAAGAAACTGGCAGAGAGGGGAGCTGGGGTGGCTCAGTCGGCTAAGTAATTGCCTTCGACTCAGGTCATGATCTCAGGGTTCTGGGATCGAGTCCCACATCAGGCTCCTTGCTCAGCGGGGAGTCTGCTTCTCCCTCTCCCTCTGCCTGCCACTCCCCCTGCTGTGCTCGTGCTTTCTCTCTCTCCCTCTCAAATAACTAACTAACTAACTAACTAATCTTTAAAGAAAAAAAGAGAGAGAGAAGGGCAGAGGCAGTTAAGTACAGCTTGGCTGATGGCCGTGAGTGTTGCAGGGTTGTGCTACAAGTTCAAACTCTCTGTAGACCAGTGCCCATCAGAGGAGGGCAGGGGGCAGGCAGGAAAGCAGAGGGAAAATGGTATGGTGAGGCAGGCTGACTTGCTGTCTTTTCCTAAGTTGAAGACACCACCTGTGACCAGAGCCTTTCGCTGTTCTAGCAAGCAGCCTCTCAGCCAGTGAACGTGCCTGGCAGGGTAAAAGGAAGCTGTGATACAGGGCCGAGAGGTCAGTCTGCCTCAGCTGGGTGCTGGTCAGGGTTGGGGGAGCAAGAAAGGAGGTGAAGGACAGACGGGGGTGAGCAAGAAGCTTTGGACTGGTTGCAAAACTCATCCCAAAGCAGGAAACAGAGCAGCAATAAAGGTAAGAGAATGTGGAAGACCTCGGGCCATGTATTCCGGGAGATGAGCAATAAGTGGGACACAGAGTCTGCTGTGGAGGAAAAAAATAAAGTGAAATAGTGTGAGAAAGTGCTCAACTTTTTACCTTCCTCTCTCTGATATGACCTCTCCCGTTAAAAAAAAAAAAAAAAAAAAAGAACCTAAGGCAATATAGGTAGTTGCAGCCCTTAAAACTGCAGAGTCTATGAGAAGCCTGCTGACTTCCCTTTAAGGCCAGTTCTGAAAAACCATTTGAATGGAGGGAGATCAAGGCACCAATATGCCGGCCAGCAATCTGGGAAAAGGATGCTGGGATCACATTCCAGAAAAGAATGGGAGAGAAGAAATGAAGTCTGAGAAAGTGGGTGGGCATGGGATGGTGCACAGAGCTCACCGCCCCCCTCCCAACCATGGAAGCATGGAGCAAGGGGAGAGAAAATGTTGCAGAAGAGGAAATGGGGTCCAGAAATGTTTTTGGAAGGGAGGTGATTTCGCTGAATTTAGACTCATTTCACTGAATTTAGACAACCAAATCAACCAACCGTCCCCTGGTGCAGAACCCCCAGTTCCAGCATTAAATTGTAATTGGCACTAATCACGATGATATCATTCCCCTTTATTGGTGACTGCTCTCAGAATGTACACACAGTGACCCAATTCTAGACGGCAAAAGATAAGAAGTCTGCAGGGAAAGGAGGATGTCTGGGAAAGATTTTTCTCCATACTGAAAGAGATAGCTGTGTAAGGAGCTGCCCTCCCCCTTCCTGGTTTGGAAACTTTTACATGAAGATGTGATACTTGGAGCTATGGCAGCTAT